CAAAGGTCATGTAACTAAGAGAATATTAGATAAACAACCAAATGATTGAGAGAGTGGGGGTTAAGATGAGTGTAGGAGACAGGGAGTGAGATAAGAAGAGAGGAAGGGAAACTCCTGATGCATTATTCAGTTTATTCACAGACAGTCGGTTGAGCACTCTCTGAGGTAACACACACACACACACACAAACACACACACAGAATGAGTAACTAATTATGTGCAACTGTGAAACTTAATCATTGAGGGAGGGTCTGAAATGAGTTTAAATAAATCCTCTGGGCTTGTGTGTGTGTGTGTGTGTGTGTGTGTGTGTGTGTGTGTTTGTGCTTCATGTGTGTTTACCAGTGAAGTCGACAGGCTGCTTGCGGCCTCCGTTGATGAACAGCTTGAGAGAGGGGAAACCTCCGATGTCAAACTCCTCAGCCAGCTCCTTCTCCTCCATGGCGTCCACTTTGGCCAAACACATCGTGGCTTCCTCCTCCTTCAGTTTCCCAGCAGCCTCTGCGTACACCGGCTCCAGACGCTTGCAGTGACCACACCAGGGGGCATCTGCAGAAAACACACACGCAGATCATGTAGGAGACAAACTGGGACCTGAGAGGTGTTTAGGAACTAAAACAGGCCTCGGCCCTGTTGTCACTATCAGCAGCACTTGTCCAGATATACATGGAAATAAGCTGCTGATAGCAATGGTGGCAGTTGGCTTCAGGCTTTATCCTGTTTGATGACCTCTCTGCCACGACTGAGCTCATGTGTGGGAGAATGAACCTGGAGAACATCTGGACATGAGAGGCCACTTGTGTGCACATGCATTTGCATGATAACGCATCAATGCATGAGAAGGTTTTAACAGAAAGAAATGCAGGAAAGTCTCAGACATTTAAACTAAAGGTTCACATACTCAGCTCTTCCTGCAGCTTTTGGTCGTATCCCACAGTTTTTTCCTATTAGGTTAAGACCTATTATCAAAGCATATTTGTTCCCAAGGCGGAAAATTACCCTCTTTGCTCATTTAACATTTTGTTTTTTGTTCTCACTCTAAAATAAAAGAGCTCACATCTGCACGTCCTCTTTTCAAAATACACATCTGCATGATATTATAACACAAAATCTGGTTTGTGATAAAAAGCAACACAGATGTTTAAAGGAAGGCAAACAGATGTGATTCATTTTCGTAAGAATTGCACAGTAATTCAAGGTTTTTGGAAAAACTGTTTAAGGAGAAACTGAAAACCTTTTAGAAGTGAATTGAATCTGAGCTTAAGGAAACATATATCAAATATCAGAGGTGCATGCTACAGATACTTGAATTGATTGTAAAACCAGAACGAAGAATGAAACAAGACTATACAATAGAATAATGTTAATTTACAAAATGAATATGGACTCTTCTGAGGTGAGATTGAGTTACACAAAGAAACATTCCAATTTCAATGTTTATTTCTTTTTGATTTCATAGGTAGGAGGTCATATGTCAAGTAAAGTTCTGGTTTGTAAAAATGTAAAACTAAATCAAAAGTGTTCATTTGATTTTCAGTTATTTATATTTATACATTACATCGCAACTACTCACAGAATTCGACCAGTAGAAACTGGTTCTCGCTCAGAGCTCTGTCAAAGTTGTTGATGTGGAGAACCATCACATCTTTCTCCTCCTCTATCTCTGTTGTTTTCTCTTTCTTCTCCTCCTCCTCTGACTCTCCTGCAGCTTCTTCATCTCTCTCCTCTGGTGTTTCTGTCTCTGAGTCACTGTTCTCCTCTGAGTCGTTGGCCTGGGTGCAGGAGGCCCACAGCAGCAGGCCCAGCAGGGTTAGGGACAGAAGCGTGTGCGTCCTCATGTCGGCTGTTTTCCCGTGTCTGGCTGCTCTGGTGCCTCCGCTCAGGTAGTGGACACCTTCAGTACATGTGTCCCTGCAGGTTTCTACCTTTATGTGTCTAATATGGAGAGTGTGTGTGTCGACTTGTTACTGGCCTTCCTGCTCATCCAATCAGGAGTTACGCTCTTTCCAGTTTGAGCCAATCAGGCGGTGCCCTGTACAGTCCAGAATTGGGAAAACTGTCCGATCTACTGTTTAGGTTTCACACGTACACTCATCCATTTGTGTTTCTCCTCCCTTTTCTTGAAAATGATCCTGTTTACTATCAGAGGTTTTCACCAGACAGACGGGAACATGTGGATAAATATACTCAGTTGCACTCTGGGCCTATTTACCTAAAAACAGGGATATGACATGGATTTATCTTCCTCCTCTCCTCGGTTTTCTGTCACCTTCTCTTCTTATTTTATTAAACTACAGAAAACACTCTTAGCTGTCCTGCCTTGATGCAAATGTTTCATTCACACAGAAATTATTATTTTGCCTCCGGCTAAAATTCAAATTTCAGGATCACATGAGCACATTGTCAACAGATTCATGATTTGCATTAGTGACAGGAGCGTTATCTGTATATTTCCCTTTAGCTGTTTATACTTCAGAAGTAAACTATTATCAGGGAATCTTAGAATGTTATTTTTATACTGTTATCTTATGATATTGATCTTATTTATGTACCTGGTGCTACCTGTTCATTTGCACTATTGTATTGCATGTGGTATATACTGAATGTGTTGTGTGTGTATTTTATGTACTTGTATTGTATTTAACGAGAAGCCAAAGACACATTTCCACTGAGTTAGACAATAAAATCGATCTGATCTAAACTAATCTGCTCGAACTATTTCCTGAAATGGATTGAGAAATGAATAATAATGAGGCTAATAGCTGATTAGAGTCTTCTCAACAGATCCATTATTTATACGTCTTTTCCTTGAGGGACACACATTCATACACTTCCTCTATCACACATGACTCCTTCACTGCCAGCACAGCTTTCAGGGACAATTTGGGGTTCAGCCTCCAACCTGAGGTCAGGGCTGCTGCACACTGGAGGATTTTCAACTCAAACAATTAAAAAATTAAAAAAAGTGGGAGACCATACTGACAGATTTAATCTTATAATCTTCAGAACACACACACTGGACACATTTGCCAGGAACTCAGACCACACACTTGCCGTTTGTAGGAAACTATTTCACAGTGACAATTCCAGAGACTCAAAATCTCACAGAAACTTGCAACATATTTTTTATGGCAGTTCTTTAGGTGCATTGCCGCCAATTGTTTCTCTCCACAGTCGCCAAAGTGCTGCTCATCGTGGGAACTGTTGAGTTTCTCTATATTTTTGAAGGTCTTGACGTTCTATGTAAAAGACCTTGAGATAAAGCACATATAATAAAATTGAACTGAACTGGAGTGTGGAACACTTTGTGTGATGAAACGTGAAAAATCAAACATCGAGGAGGAATATCGTCATGTTCGGTTTGGAGCAGAAAAACAGCAAATCATGTGTTGCAGTGCGAGGTGGAAATGTCTATTTGTTTTTAGTCATAGCTGTAGAAGTACGCAACACAGTTCGTACTCTGTTGCAGCAGATTGTCAGAGGGGGCAGAGCTGCAAATTCACTTAACTATAGTCACAGTTCTACCTCATGAGGATCAAAGCATTGCCACTTAGTTTAAACTTCAAAGTAACTAACACCTGCTCCTTGATCTACATCACAAAACCCTGGCAGCGGTGGGATTCGAACCCACGCCCCCGAAGAGACTGGAGCCTTAATCCAGCGCCTTAGACCGCTCGGCCACGCTACCTGTGAGACTGAGGCTTCCTGGCACTCAAGTTCACCCCTATGGACGATTTAGAGTGTTTCACAGAGAAAAACAGAAAAACCAAGACTTGAACCGAGAACCTTGGTTCCATTCACTTCTCTTGCATCAGGGTTAAGATCTCAGAGACACAGAAGATCAGACGTGACTGTTTGACTCGATGCTGTTAGATAAAAGTTTTTTTTGCATTTGGGTGAACTGACCCTTAAAAAGCAGAAGAAAAACTGTGCACTTCAATGTATTCTTTTTATTAAACTTTGCACAATCAAAACTATGACGAACACGACACTTCTTACACTTACTTCAATGCTGCATGTGCGTGTTCTCCGACAGTGTGTGTGTGAGCTCAGGGTTCGGTTCCCAGTACGCCAGCAAGTCACTGAAGTCCAGCTGATTGTTGTCCAGGGCGTGTGTGTTGTGGTGTGTGTTAAAGGGCATGTGTGTGTCAGTGTCTGTGTGCGCGCCGCCCTGTGGTGTGTTCGTGTTTGTGACGTCAGGTGTGTTAGTGAAGCTGTTCAGGGAGCAGCAGGGGATCGGTTCTGTCCAGAAACTGAGCGGGAGATGCCGTTTGATCATCGGTCGGCCGCGGCCCTGACTCGGGCCCACGTGGTCGAACAGTTCAGCGAGGGGCCCCAAAATGGAGTTGCCCTTTGCAACCCCAACTGCTTCCTGATCAGTCACGAAGCCATTTTCTTGCTCCTCCGGAGTTCCTGCTCTCGCTATTCTCAGCAGGTCGTCGTAGTAACGCAGGCGCCCGCTGGTTGTGATGGACACGGAGTCGCTGTAGATGTCACAAGCCTCTTGGTCACCGGAGCAGCGTCCGAAATATCTCTGAACATCGCGACTGATGAGGTCTGCGAAGGTCAGCAGCTGCTTGGTCACATCAAAAGCGCAGTGGGCCGGGTTCAGAAAAACCTCCTCTAGGCATTCCTCCTCCTCTTCCTCCTCCTGAGTCTCAGATTCTTCATCATCCTCCTCTTCTTCTCTTTCTTCTTCATCTTCCCTCTCCTCCGGCTTCTCCTCCTGCTTCTCTTCTCCCTCCTCTTCATTGCCGCCCTTGCACAGAGAGCTCTGGAACATCAAGGGGAAGTAGGCTGGAGTCTGGGCCTGGACGAGGAAGTTCCTGATGACGCCTGCCGCCATGTTCGCCTGTCAACGCTGGGGAGACGATCACAGGAGACAAGAGGTGAGAGTGTAACAGGAGAGAAGGATGGTGACAGAATCAAATCTTTGAAATTGGTTTAAAAAGTGAAAGGTTTATTACCCAGAGAAGTGGAAATTAGCTGAGAATCTGTTGAAGAAAAGGTCTGGTCAGGTCACTGATGGATCCACGTTTCTGTTTGTGTACGTGCATGTGTAATACTGGTCCGGTGGGACTGTCACTGTATATATACCTCAGCACACGGTCGCAGACGTGTGTGTGTCTCCCGTCGGATGAGGCAGCTTCCAGAACAAATATTTGACTGTCGAATTGGTCAAACACTCTTTGTTTACTTTATCACTGGGAAACCGGGGAGGGGGTCCGAGGCTAATGGATCCTCTGCCAGGGGATGATGGAGAGTTGTTATGAACACACACACACACAGACACACGCTCAGTTGCCTTTTCCGTCCCCGTTATCGAGCTAGTTAAAGGATAAAAAGAGCGTGAAATCAAATCACATGCTGTTTTGACTTCTAAAGGGGAACACTCTGCACCGACATCAGCCCAACACTCGTCTCCATCAACACCGGAGATACAGTCAGATGCAGCTCGTCACAATGCATGACGCTCTCCAGTGTTTCTTCCTCTTTAATCAGATGCAACAAGAACCACGTCAAACTCCCAAAAGCCAATCCTCGTCCAACAGATCGATAGATAGATGATAGATGATGGATGCTTTATTGATCCTGAGGGATATTTAGGCATCCAGTCAAACACAAGAGCATAAGAATAATAAAAGGTCAAGATGAGTCCAGTTCACTGTGAGATGAAGGTCTCACCACCAGAACTACTGCAGAGCTGTCACTGTAAAGAAGTATGTGCTGATGGAGATATTGCAATATTTTAAGTGTAAGGTGATTGAAAGACACAAGGAGTATTGAAGCCAAACATAAATACAGATTTAAAGATAAATAACTGAAGCTGTACAAAGGTGAGTGTTACATTAACACAGCCTGTTCAATTATGGTTTAAAATAAAGGTGAAAACTGAGCAAGAATAAAACTTAAAGTATAAAAAATATAAAATCAAACAAAGATAAACAGCAGTGATGGCGACATACTGGCAGCAAAGTGACATAATTAATAATTAATGTAAGATGATGCAGATGATGATTTGATTCTCAGACGTTGTGTCAGTTCCACCTGAAGCTGTTGAGCTAGAATTAAACTCTGAGGTGAAAACAGATCAGGCAGAGCAAAGTGCCCAAAGCAACAGACTGTCCCTGATGAGCAGGTTAGAACTTGACATGACAATGAAGCAATAACAGATAAGTTTAAAAGATTTAAAAGATACGTTTGGAGACGATTTAGGTTTTTGTGACTGTCAACAAAAAGAGCTAAACCAACAATATGTTAGTTCATTCTGTCGTCTCTCAAAATGTCCAACTTCACTTCCTCTGTGCTGCTCAGTGCCCCGCCCATTTTAGCTTACCTAAAATGTAATGAGGTGTTTTCCAACTGATTTCTAGGCCTGAAGAGTATTTGACTTTTTATTAAGATTAAAATATACATGATGTAAGTTACACATATAAACCTGAACAAATATAAAATATCTATTCATAAATGGATGTTAACATTGTTTTAATGCATCTTTAGTTAGTGATAAAATGTCTTCTTCCATAACAGCCTCAGTGTCTGTGCTTTTCAGGAAACATCCCTGAATTTATGAAACTTAGAAAACATTGACATCTTTCTTAAACTCTTAATTAGAATTAAACAGTGACATGCAATGATTTGATGAAGTCTCACTGAGTAACTTCTGCACTTCACTAGATTTTACTGACCTTTACGGACATCTGTAACTCTGTACACATGTGCACGTCAAGCATTAATGTGTGTGTGTGTTAATGTGTGTGTGTTGTGTGCGTGTGTGTGTGTGTGTTATCAGGACACCCTGGCTCCCGTGGCCTCCCTGTCATCAGTATCCAGGCTTCTGTGTTGACTTTAGGGCTAAAGATCAATAGCGGCAATATGTCAGCTCTCAAGAGCACGACAATAAATTACACA